TGGCAAGAGTCAGTCTTTGAGAGGAGTTACAATGCTGAGACTCTCTCTCTAAATAATAAACACAGCTGCCTCACTAAAATTAGTTCATGCTTGCTTCACCATGGATTTATTAACAATAGTGCTCCATTGAACGTTTCCCCTTTCTGTTATGGAATCAGAGAATGGCTTGTAGGTCACAGTTAGCCCTCTTGGCTTGGTTCTGTTCTGCCTCTGCACTGTAGAAGCACATTAAGCAGATTGATGGGCCATGATGTAATTATGGCATCCTATAAATCTTAGCCCACAGGGTTTGGAAAAACCATTGAGTCCACCTGCATTAAGGAAGTTGCTAAGGACATTGTGCTGGTTTAATCACTGAGAGACACAAGTCTTCTGGCAACTTTTGTTGTTGACTGAAAAGAACCCCAGAGCTTTTGTCATTCCAAATACTGCTGAAACAGACACAAATTCCAAGTCCAAGGTTTCACCTTGAATATCAATTATCTTCAGAGTCTCATTCGTTAAGGTACACTCAGATTTTGCTTTTCTGCCTTTAAAGAAAGGAAGAGACTTCTTCCCTCGGGGAAAAGAAGCAAGGTTGAAATCTATGCAAGAGACAACAAGGAAAAGGCCTTGTGTTTGCTTCTCTTCTCTCACAACTTCAGCACATCCTAAATGATGTATTTCAAATTGCAATCAGTGCTCAGTGTACAAAATGTGACAACTAATTTGCAAACAGCAAGTAGCCATGTAATGGTCACCAGACAATCTGTAATGAAATGAGTTAAAGTATAAACATTTGCCAAAACTCTGGGAACAGCTGTCCCCTTCTCCTTCCATTGCTGTGATCTCTGACATTCAGCTGAATGAATAGACAAGGCAACAACGAAACACATCTTCTGAAAGGCCACTCTCTGACAGTGTAGCACTCCATCTGGCACTGAGGTGAATGTATTAGTTTAAGTAATGTGATCAAATCTCTAGACTCATGTTCTCATTTCTCATCGCCCTCTGACTCAGAGGTGAGGGTGGTACCCACTCAGTTATATTCACATAAAAGACGAATCCATGTTGTACTGAAAAATCTCAAGTCAAACTGTGTAACCAAAGCAAAAAAAAAAGTCACGCACAAATTAGTAATGATGAATTAAAATTTGATTTGAGCCACAAGCTTATGTCATTGTCATCAGACGGTAAAAGGTTTGTGGTGATTGATCTCCTTCTGTGCTGCGACCATTTTTTGATTCTAAGATAAACTGTTGCTGATGGAGCAAGTAACTCTTTCAGAGTTTAAGATAGGGTCTAACGTGGAGATGAAATAAATAATAGAAAACACAATGAACTGCAGATGCCAGAAATCTGAAACTGAAAATCAGAAACTGCTGGACAAACTCAGCAGGCCTAGCAACATCTGTGGGGAGAGAAACAGAGTTAACATTTCAGGTCCAGTGGCCCAGTACTGAAGAAGGGTCACCAGACTTGATACATTTGCTCTGCTTTATCTCATCAGATGCTGCCAGACCTGCTGTGTTTCTCCAACAATTTCTGCATTTTTTTAAATGAGGCGATGGGTGGGATATCAAAAGTGAGTAAGTCTCCAATAGCCCTGGAAGCCATGGCCTTTTGTTTTGACTGACAAATGTTTTGAACCTGTGATGTGGGGTATATTGGGAGAGGGAGGGGTCAGTTCAGGTTTAGACAGCCTTTTCCACTTGAGTGTGTCCACTGAGAGTCACTGGGTATCTGGAAGGGAGGGACATTCCTGATGTTCTCAATGATCACAGGGTCCAGAACCCAAGGGTCGTAATTTAAGGACCTGGGTAGGCCACTTAGGATTGAGATGAGGAAAAGTTTCTTCACTCAGAGGATGGTGAGCCTGTGGAATTCTCTGTAAAAAGAATGTGGTTGAGGCCAAGGCATTGAATTGTTTTGAGAAGGGTTTCAATGTATTTCTTCATGCTACCAGCCTCAGCTAATCATCATAGCTCATCTCTGACTCAATTGGAATACAGTTCGCCTCTCCCATGCTGCAATTTGCAGAGTGCCAGCACCTTTTTTAAATTTTATTTTAATGCTGATACCAGACCACTTTGCAGGCAGTGACAGGTACCAATCTCATGGATTGGAGCAGGCTGCAGCTTGAAGCTCCTTACTTGATCTCTGAGCCCTCATTCACCGTGGTGCCACATTGGGTGCTCAGATTATCTTGGTCTTGCCTCAACAGCTCACAGTAACTCTGTGTTGCTTCATTGTTCAGCACAAAAGTATGAGCAGTCAAGGAGATGGTCATGTTGCTGTGTGGCACATGCCTACGTCAATCTCACACCTATAACATAGCAGCTTATGCAACAAACATACTGTATGTGCATCAACTGAATGGCCATGTCTTAAGGTCTAAGTGGATTAGTCCTTGGTCAAGTCGAGGGGAACTGTCATCAGTTGGGGAGTTTTGTCTCAGTTAGTGAACAGTTAGGAAGCGTCCAATCTCACTCCAGGGGCTTGCATGCCTTCAGTCAGCCACTTGTGGGGTTGTCTGGTTCAGAATTTCCTTGTCACTGCAGTCTAAGAAGTCAGTCACTGCAGGTCTCATTCAACCAGTCCAGAGTTTCACAGTAAGTCTGTTGGGAAGCTGCACAGGGAGCAGTCAGTGGCCCAGTCACTCATCAGTCAGGGCTCTCTAGCCAAGTTGGTTGAGAGGGGTGACCATGGTCAGTTGTGGGGGCCTGCTCAGTAAAGGTCAAGGGGGTCTAATGGGGGGACACTGCTGTGCTTGACAATCTGGGGAACTTGACCATCAGGATTGAAGGCAGCATATTAGGTTGCTAAAGGGCCAGTAACATTGACGGAGTGCAACTCAACATGTAAGGAGGGCATATGATAGTGCATTGGAGGATATTGGTTACTGTGAGAGGGACAGGTAACATCACTGGTCAAAACCACCTTGGCTTTAATGGGAGGACAGTACAGCATGATGGTTAGCATGGCTAAAATGCAGGCCCAGGGCTCAGGAAATAAACGTGGGAGGCAAAGAATTAAATGAAAGAGTTGAGAGGTGGTGGGCGGGGAATTGAGAGGATGCTCAGTACTGATGGGATCAACAGGGAGGGCAGAGAAGGAAAGAGCATGGAGGTTTTTGGATGGCAGGGGGGAGGGGTTTGCTATTGATTATTAGGCTGAGCATGAGACCCAAGTGTGACCTGGGCTACCTTCTAAATCATCCAAATTATAAATGTGAAATGGAAATGGAGTATGGCAGCAACCACACCTCGTGTGGGCACAGGAAGTGTTTTTTTTTCTGTCTGAGTACGTGATATGAGACCCTTTAAAGGGCAATTGCATTCATCAGGAGTTTATATAGTACATGTTGCCGACATCTGTAATCATAGAATCCTGCATGGGAACTGCAGGCAGTGACCAAGAATGTAGGTTTCAGATCCCAGTCACAGGCAACCTTGACCATGTCATGGGTCATTACAGATTGATCTTAGTCATCCCCTTGAAGCAGAAATAATCATAGGTAACATTAAAAGGGACACTGGCAGGCCACAATTCATAAAGATTATTCAAGAGTTCATAGGCTGCACAAAGGCACTGGCCAGAATTCCTCTCACCTTGAACTATAATTATTTGCCAACATGATCCTTTATGCAATATCGCCTTTCCTGGGGAATGTGGCTGGCTATCAGTAATTCTATTACACTTTCCATCTCTTGGTGGAATTAAATTTGAAAGTGAAAGCTAGTCTCAGTAATGGTGACCATGAATGAATCATTGATTGTTTCAAAACCCACCAGGTTCTCTAATGACCTTTAGGGAAGGAAATTTGTCATCCTTACCTGCACTGGCCTACATATGATTGTAGATTCATAATATTGAGATTGACTTTCACCTGCGCTCTGAAATGGTCTTGCAAGCCACTCAGTTTCAGGCTAACTGGTGCAAAAACAGAAGTTGCTGGAAAAGCTCAGCGGGTCTGGCAGCATCTGTGAAGAAAAAGTCAGAGTTAATGTTTTGGCTCAAGACCTGAAACGTTAACTTTGATTTTTTCTTCACAGATGCTGCCAGACC